ATTCGAGATAATAGTTAAGGTGCCCCAAGATGGAAGCAATGTCTTACAGAGATGGGGCTGAAAGAGTTGGCCTCACACTCCCTTTGGGATGCCTTCTCTGAAATGCAGCTGCTTCTAGGCCCTGTCTGTTGTTAAAAAGTTAGGGGCTATTGCATGGGGAAGGCTATGGCGATGACTACAGTGTCCCAAGATGGAATTGGGTTAGGCTTAGGCTCCCAGGTTGTGGGGGTGGGAGGTGTACTCAGACCTACCCTGGACCTGGGTACTGTGCAAGTCGGTGTGGATGGATCTTGTCAGGTTCTGGGTCCTGTGATAGTCTCTGGTGGTCAGAAGAGGTGGTCCTTTGCCAAAGGCTGGGCTCTGGTGGATGTCTKCSCCACCGGTGGATGGGTGGACCTGGGCCTACTGTGAGCCTGGGTCCCACGCAGGCTGGTGTGGACAGTCTGGGCTGGGCCTAGGCTGTCGCAGTTTGGTCTTGAATTTTTGGCATTCTGCCAGTCTAAGTCTTCAGTTGAGACCATTTACGTTCAATGTTATTATAGAGAGATTCTTATTAATTCTGGCCTTTTTTATTAATTGTAACATTAATTTTGTCCTGTTTCTCATTTGCATGGTTACTCTTCAAATAAGTTTTGTTCATTTGTGAGCACTGGGGTTTGTTTTTGATTTCTTCTGTATGGAGTATTTCTTTTAGTAAGTTCTGTAATGCTGGTTTTGTAGTCATGAGATCTTTTAGTTTCTGCCTATCTTGGAAGATTTTCTTTCTGCTTTAGTTTTTTTTTTTTTTTTTTTTTTAAGAGAGAGTGAGAGAGGAGAGAGAGAGAGAGAGAATATTTTTAATATTTATTTTTTAGTTCTCGGCGGACACAACATCTTTGTTGGTATGTGGTGCTGAGGATCGAACCCAGGCCGCATGCATGCCAGGCGAGCGCGCTACTGCTTGAGCCATATCCCCAGCCCTCTGCTTTAGTTTTGAAGGATAGCTTTGCTGGAAATAACAATCTTAGTTGACAGTTATTTTTGTTCAGTGCTTAGAACACATCATTTCAAATCCTCCTGGCTTTGTGCTAGAAAATTGGAACGAATTTTGATTGTCGTGCCTCTAAATATGACCTTATGTTTTTCTCTTGAGGCTTTTACAATTGTGTCCTTTTTCTATGTGTTAGGCATTTTAATGTGTCATGGAGAAATTCTTTTTTGATCTTGTCTATTTAGGGTTATGAATGATTCCTATATCTGGATGTGTATCTCATTCTCAAGGTTTGGAAATTTTTCTGTTTTTATTTTCCTGAAAATGTTACTCTTGCCATTAGCCTGCCTCTTACAACTCTCCTCAATTTCAATGATTTAGTGTCTTAATATTGTCCCAGAATTCTTGTTTATTCTGATTATGGTTACTTATTTTATTTTCTTTAAATCCTGTCTAAATTTTCAAGGTTGGCCACTTTGTCTTCCTGCTCTGAGATTCTCTCTTCAGCTTGGTCAACTCTATTCGAGAGACTTTCAACTGAACATTTAAAAAAAATTAATTTATTGTGCCTTTCATTTCCAAGATTCCTGTTTGGTTCTTTTTCAGTTATCTCTATTTCCTTTCTAAATTTCTCATTCATATCCTGAACAGACAATTGTTTTATCTGTGTTCTCTCAGAATTCATTGATCATTTTTATAATCATTTTAAAAATTCTTTCATCCACTTCAATACCTTTGGGGTGTGTTTATGGCAAATTATATGCTTTAGGAAATGTTATGTTACCTTGCTTTTCATATTTCTTGTATTCCTTTATTGGTTTTTATGCATCTGTTGGGGTGGATTTCTCTTCCAGTCTCACATGTGGTCCTTTTTAGGGTTCTGCCTTCTCTTTCCAAAATTTTCTCAGAGAGTGATTACTTCTCAGAGAGTGATCTAGATTGATATCCCCTTATAGGTGTGTTACCCACAGCCTTTGTGCTAATTTTAGCTTTTTGCTCTTAGCAGTGAATGTCTGTGTATGTGACCTGAGGGCCACCCCCTAGCCATTCCTACTGGGTACCTGGTCATTAGTTTGGGCTTTTTCYTCTTCTATTCTTTGTATTAAAGTATAGTTGAAGTTTCAATGTTAATTTATGTGAAGCAAGGTATATTCTGTGTTTTGAGTTACTTTAGCAACATAGTCCCTATAGGTTTCCAGCACTTCACAGAATAGGAGTAAATAAATAATAGCAAAAACTGATGCATTAATATAAATACCTAGTTTCTAGGATGACATCTATAATGGTAATTCCCACAATGAAAACCAGTCAACAAACAAACAAGGAATGGTGGAGTCAGCAAATGTCACAAACATACATAGGCTTTCAAGACKTAGTCCCTGAACATAGTCACACCTACATATTCAGATTTCCTACCCTATTCAGTTGGTCACAGAAGCCTCTAGACATAGGGAAAAGCAAGTTGGACTTTCCTTCATTTTTCTTACTTTGAATCCCCCTGGGTACCTTTTTTGTGTTTTTGTTTCATTCATATCCTGGCAGGTAAACCCTAAGCCACATGGTAGGCACTTAAGTGCTGGGAGAGTATGGCAATGTTTGCCATGAACTCTTCGGCTCCGCAGCAGCAAGCTACAGCATGAACTCCTCAAATGCTTCTCGCCTCAATTCTCCAATTGCCAGTTGAACACTTTTCAAACACCAGTTTATGTTGCAGCCTCTGAATCAGCTAAGTTACATGTTTTCTGTGTCAAATCTCTTCATTGTGTTTCTCTCCCATCCCTATGTGGTAGACTAGAACTATTGCCACTGCCACTGGTGTAGCTGGCTTGGCTTCAATGTACTCTTTCTTTAATAGATTCAAATCTCTGAGTCTCTTAGACACTCTGACTGTCCAAATATTGAATTTTAGTGAAATCCCTCTTTTACCTATCACACTGACAAGCAGTTTTCCCACTTTTGAATCCCAAGTAAGGGAGCAACAGAATGCAGCCTTCCTCTAACTCACCATCCTAAATCCCCTCATCAGCTCTTACATGAATTCTTTGTACTCAACTACTATTTAAATGAACAAACCCCTCCAAATATCAACTGCTTTTCTCAAATTGGCTCTCTGTGTTCTCCAGTGACCTCCTATTGGCTATTTTGGGGGTCTGTTGTTCTCAGGGCTATCATATTACTCTTTTTACACTAACTGCTTTCTCCCACATATACGTTGAGCCATGAAGGTCTTATGTGTGTATATACTTTCCTGCATGGTTTCTTATAAATGTTGTCCATAGGCTTTTGGGTTTGCTACCTCAATATTCTTTATAATTTTATGTGGGGAGTTAAGATGATTCAAAAATCATGCTGCCTTTGCTGCCACTACCTTCCCAGAAGTTCCCTCTCATATCTGTTTCACTGTTTTCATATTTAAAATTATTTATATTTAATTTATAGTATCAGGTAATTTATTTAGACAATCGTTTCATCTACAAATAACAGTAGTTTCGTTTCTTTATCCCCAAACCTTATCCTCTTTGTTTTCTTGACATATTACATTAGCTATAAGCACCAATCAGGGTCTGATAAAAGTGGTAACAGTGGAGCTCTTTTTTTTCCTTCATGATCTTTAAAAGTAATACTTCTAATATTTAACATTGAAGAACATTATTTATATAGGTTCTTTTGTGTATATGTGTGTGTGCATGTGTGCATGCATATGTGCATGTGAGCTGCAGCCAGTTAACTATATTGTTGAATATTGTTCCTAGTGATCTAAGAATTTTTTWAAAAAATCATGAGTGGGTGTTGAATTTTGTCTAATGATTTTTTTCTCTTTCAGTCAGTTAAATGACATTTAAATTATATTTTCTAATGTTAATATCAAAACACCCTTGTATTCTTGGGATGAATTGACTTGTTCATTGTATATTATTTTGTTTCTACAATACTGGATTTTTCATACTGAAACTATATTTTATTCATTTATGTTTATGAATGATATTAGCCTAAAATGTCTTTGTCAGATTTTATTGTCAAGGCCATAGTGTCCTCATGAAATGAATTGGAAAACATTCTCTTTTCCATTTAATTTTTAATGAGTGCATCCTTAGATTACTCAGCCTTTTGAAATTTCTTGGACTAAAGGCTAAATTCCTTTTATTAAAAACTGTTTTTCTATTTTTGTTTATTTTTTGCAGTGGTGGGGATTGAACCCAGGGCCTTCCACATGCTAGGCAAGTGCTTTACTACTGAGCTAAACCCTAACCCCTTAAACCTGTTTTAAGGAAACTATCATATTATACATTGATTAATTTATAAAATATGTATGTAGAGTGCTATGAACTGAATTTTTTGGCTTGCTCATCCTAATTCATATGTTAAAAACCTAATCCTCAATATTATGGTGTTTGGAGGTGGAACCTCTGAGAGATAATTAGGAATAGTTTAGGTTTGATGGTGAGGCCCTATAGATGGGACTAATTCCCTTGTTAAAAGAAGAAACATGAGATCCATCTCTCTCCACTCTGAGGATACAAGAAGATGGACATCTGAAACCAGAAAGAGTACCTTACCAGATACTGGATTTGCTGGCACCTTGATATTGGACTTCTCAGCCTGTAGAACTGTGAGAAATAGGTGTCTGTTGTTTCTGTTGTTTAAGTTACCCAATCTGTAGCATTTAGTTCAAGCAACCCAACCTGACCAGGGTGTGTGGTTAAAAACACTTAGAATGATATGTATTGAATAATTTCTGAAACATGTTTATATTACCTAGATATTTATGTGTCAGATTAAGATATACAATACCACCAATATCAGAAATGTGTTTTATATGCCCTTATGATAATCTCCCTAACCATCTTCAGGTAACTACTTTACTCATTTTTGTTGGAAGCATTCCATTCTTTTGACTGTATCCCTAGACAATATAGTGTGTGTGTCTCTTTTAGAACTTTTTAGAAGTGTATCATACTATGTGAATCATAACATACATATATTCTTTTGTTACTGACTTATTTCATCTATGACTGATTACTTTCTTTAGGCTGGAAAAAATGAAAAAAGAATATAGAAATCTGGGTACATGGAAAGAAAAAGTTGACTATTTAGAAAACATTCTGAACCCAAAATTGGAACCTAAAGAATCTTCGGTAATTGGCATAATACATTCTTCTACCTGGAGCTTTGAATACTTTTTTAAAAGAAATATTATTGTCATTAATAGTGATGATCATATGTCRCTTATTTTTGGAGAGCATGTAAAATGTTATTCTTGGCCCACACACTTTCCTATTTTGATAATGTTCCATTCACTAAGTATTTAATGATAAATTATTAGGTTTAACAATATTGATCCATTTAAAATGTACAGTTTAATGGCCTTTATTGTGTCCACCATCACAATCAACTTGAGAATATTTTACTCTCAAAAGCACACCCATACCCTTTAGCCAGCACTCCCTCAATCCACCCATTGTCCTCTAGCCCTATGCAACAATAGCCAATTTTCTTCTCTATAGATTTACCTATCCTACACATTTCATATAAATGGAATCATAACAATATATCGTCCTTCGTGATTTTCCTTTTCAGTTGCCATAATGTTTTCAAAGTTTATTCTTGTTGTAATATGTATAAGATTCCATTTCTTTTTATTTCCAAATGACATTCCATTGAATGGATATGCCATCTTTTGGTTTATTCATAATCATAAGCTGATGGACATTGTTTTCACTGTTAAGCTAGTTTGAATAATAATGCTTTTGGACATTCATGTGCAAGTTTTTTTGTGTGAATGTATGTCTTTATTCTCTTGAGTACCTAGGAGTAGAAGCTGCATCATATGGTAATTCTCAGTTTAAATTTTTGAAAAAGTATCAAATTGTTTTCCACAGTAGTTTTGTATTACCTTATATTCCAATCAGTAGAGAGAGTTCCAAGTCTTCACTAACTCTTATTATTTTCCATTTTATTACTATTATTACTATAGCCATCTTTGTGGGTTTGACATGGTGATTTATTGTGCTTTTGATTTGCATTTCTCTGTAGATTAATGTTGTGAGCATCTTTTCATATGTTTACTGGCCATTTCTTTCTCTTCAGATCTTTGCCAATTTTTAAGTTAAATGATTTGTCTTTTTAATACTAGATCCTTGTCAGATAGGAGTAAAGGTTAATATTTAGAAATACAACCTTACCTATACTGATCTGGAAATAAAGAATTTATAGCTATCTCAGTGAAAAGATGAAACATTGACTGAGATCATAACCCTGAAAAAGTAATATTTTCATGTGTTTCAATTTCTCTATAATAGGCAGAGTTCATGTTGCTACAGGAACAATTAAGTATTTTTTAATACAGAAGTAATACTTTMGGGAAAATTTGGAGGGTTATTAATTAAAAGAACTATGGACTTTGGGTTGTTACTGAAAGATCAGTATTTTATAAAAAGCCCATTGTCATTCTGTCTTTTAACTATTTTTAAACCCAATTTTCCTTAGAATTTTATAAAAATATACATCCTTTTTCAAGTCATAAGCCATAATGGATTACAATAAAAATAATAATCTGTTACCTACGGGTAACCTTTCTTAGTCCTTGAAGTTACAATATTATATAATTTACCCTATGTGTATCATGTACATTCATTATTCAAATACTCTACCAATTATTGGATATCTTCTCTCTAGAATATCAACTCCTCTTTAAAATGGTAGTCTTTGGATTGAATTTCTTACAAATAGTTCTCTGTCTTATCCTCTATCCTTTGTAGATTTAGCAGGGGATGGGGGAGAATATTGCMTTAAAAAGAAGTTATGAAAATAAGGAATTAAAACCTTTTCCTCCTTAAATATTTTCCCCAATATTTTTTCTTTCTTTCTGTGATTTTAGGAAAGTAATTTAGATGAAGACCTTGAAAGTGAGAGTAATGATTTAGATGAAGAGAAGCCTGAAAATATCACAACATTATGTAAGAAACGAACTTGATTTCTGTGTTTATTATGAAGATAATTAAAATCAAGGTGTTATATCACAAAAATTAGWAATTTGTTCTAAGTAAGTGTTATGGTTTTGTGAGAAGTTCCCCAAAAGCTCATGTGTGAGACAATGCAAGAAAGTTTAGTGGTGAAATCATTGGGTTATGAAAAGTTTAACCTAATCAGTATATTAATTCCCTGAGAGGAATTAACTGGGTGGAACTGTAGGAGGGTAGGGTATGTCTGGAGGGGGGTGGAGAGTCATTGGCTTTGTGCCTTTGGGGTTTATATTTTGTCTGTGGTGAGATGGGAGCTCTCTCCCTCTCTCCCTCTCTCCCTCTCTCCCTCTCTTCCTCTCTCTCTCTCTCCCTCTCCCTCTTCCCCCCTCTCTACCTGTCCCCCTCTCCTCCATCCTTCCTTCTCCTTCCTCGTGCTATGTCCTGAGCTACTTTGCTCTGCCGTATTCTTCTGCCAGGATGTTCTGCCTCACTTCTGGCCCTGAGAAATGGAGTTGGCCATCTGTGGACTGAGACCTCTGAAACTATGAGCCCCAAATAAACTTTTCTGCCTTTGAAATTGTTCTTATCAGAACTTTTGGCCACAGTAGTGAAAAAAACTGACTAAAACAGAAATTGATACCAAGAATTGGGGTCATTTCTGTGGCTAACCTGACCACGTGGTTTAGAAGCTTTTAGAGTGTTTTGGAATTTGGGAGGAATTTTTTTGTTATTGTTGTATCAGAGATTGAATCCAGGGAATGCTTAACCACTGAGCTATATCCCTAGCCCCTTTGTTTATTTTATTTAGAGACAGGATCTCACTGAGTTGCTAAGTACCTTGATAAACTGGCTGAAKCTGGCCTTGAACTTGCAATCCTCCTGCCTTAACCTCCCAAGCCACTGGGATTATAAACTTATGCCACTTMATTCCACTATGGAAAGAATTTTGCAATATCTAGAGATGCAAGCTAGGAATGTTCTAGATTATTGTAGGTTGAGCTTAATGGGTGATTATGGTGGGAGTTCAGAAGACCAGAATGTCAATA